CGTATCAAGATGCCGAAGCTCTGTTATAAGTCAGAGGTCATGAAATACAAATCAATAATCTTTGAAACGATGAGTAATAACTTCGTATTTCTCCCGAATCGTTATGGTAACATCCTTGGAATCTTATTACGTATAATCGAATTTGATGTCGTCTTACAAAACGTGTTGTATGTCGAGTGATCGATTTTTGTTAATTTTCACTGTATCACGACTAGTATATTACTATTAGCAGTACTAGTAGCGCAGCTAGGGTTTACTTTATGGTAGATAAAATACGCCAATATAACGTCTACTCAAGATGTGTTGTTGACCTATTTTGACTTTTCATATTCGGAAATCCACAACTCGAATCAATTAAACTTGAAGACTTTTTCACGCTGCTTCGTGATCCGGGAATTTCGATATACCTTCCATTCATTTAATATTCAGGTTTTCAGACGAAGAGCTACATCAGAAATATTGTAAACGTTGGACCCGGTGGGGATCGAACCCCACGACCAGTTGATTTAGACCAACGAGCTGGCCAAATTAAGCCATTCCTCTTTATCTTGAACACTAGTGCTGAATGTTTAAAATGCAGTATATGATACATATACCAGTACAATATTTTAACTACGGCCCGACGTTTCGGATGCTATGCAGTCACCTTGGCCACAGAGAGACTTGAGTAGACATTTCGCGTTTTAAACGGTTAAAAGTGTTCTATTTAAACGTGTGCTACTCGCGTAAACTACAAAATATATAATTTAAAAATCGAAAATATATTGAATAATTTTCGACTCGGTCAGGACTTGAACCGGCATCGTCAGCGTTCCGTGCTGTTGCTCTACCAATTGAGCTACCGAGTCAACAACAGCACAGCATGTGCAATAACATGTGAAAAAAATTAAAGTTTACAAAATATATTAAAAATAGCTACAAACGTTTAGAGGTGACAATTCACAGAAGCACTATTCTCACAGTATTAAATTCCAATATATATTGAGGCAACCCATCAATCAGGGAGTAAAATGTAAGATAGCTGAAGGAATGTGGTCTATTTGTCCCCGAGAAAGGGATTTGAGACGGGTTTTAATGCTTCCAAGAATTCGGGCTGGGAAAGTATTGGAAAATATATTGCTTTTTGAAGTAACCTTAAACTTATTGACCCCTGGTATTTTCGGCTGAATTTTATAACGTTATTTGAATAAAACCTAATTATTTATTTATTAGTTATTTGAATAAGGCCTAAAAAATTGTTTCGAATCCCTATACTTAATATTGAAGAAGTATTGCCGAAGAGTTTGTTTGTTTGATTGTTTGAACGCGCTAATCTCGGGAACTACAAGAGTTCGAATTGAAAAATTATGCCTGTGTTGGTTAGAGTATTTATCAAGGAAAGCTATAGGCCATAAAACATCGCACTGTTACTAATACAAGCGAGGATACAGCGGGAAATATTTAAAACAAATGGGAAAATTAAATGTAGGGACTAAATGTTTTACAAGGTAGAATGTTTTTAATTTATTTATATATAAGTATATTTTGGTTGGTTCAAGAAAAATAGGCTTTCATTTCAAAGATTTGTTTACCAGATTGTCGATATCGTTACATGAATAATGCGCCACAAACAATATTAACATGCTTATAACATTGTGTGTCCATTGGGAATCGAACCCACGTCACTTTTTCTCGTCAAAAATGGATATATCATATATCCATTTTTCAAACAAAAGCACCCTTTTAAATTACCTTATTAATTAGATATTGAAAAATCTAATTAATAAGGAGTTGTCTACAACCATGTAGCCAACTAAGCATAAATTAGCCATAATTAAAACAAACGCTTTAGTTAAGTTACACTTTATGTTAACTCACTAATGTATTTTATTATTTTTTTATTCGTTTTAATTGTATTTAGTTATAGTTTATATTGTAAACTGTAATAGTTTGTATTGTATTTTATTATTAGTTTTAAACCGTTAAAAGTGTTTTAATTAAATGTACCGTGAAAACTGCAGATAATGTTAATAATGATTTTCCATTAGTAAATAGCGCTTTGTGATCGAGGCAAAACTTTGCATCCCTACCAGGATAGTATAGATTTGTATCGCTCACATCAGATCACAACACTTCACAATACTCAGAATATTTTTAATTCACTTACATTCCATTTTCGGTATATTATATCACTACTTGTTTTCATCAAATAGATAAAATATTTGCTTATACCAGCATGAAATACGGGAATCAAGAAATAAACGTCAAAATACGGGACGGAGAAGCGTATAATGGTAAATGATAACTGCAGTATTTTAAACTGTGTAAATAGTTCATTTCACGTTGTGGCGCAAGCTTTTGTTCAGCTTTTGGAAAAGGAATTTTAAATTGAAATTATGCTTTATAAATATAAACATGTCTATATTTCGTTTGTGTATTTAAAATTTAGTCAAACACGGATATGTTATTATTAACATGTAATACTCAAAATATTACAGAAATAAACTGTCACCTAACACGAATTGAGGCTCGTAGAGAGTGGCCTAATAACCAAAAACATGATTTTCAATAATGAGCAAAATACTAATAAGCAACTTAATTTATACTATTATTTTTTATCACTGTGTGTAAATAGTAAGTCAACTTATAAAATTGTTAGGTTAGGCTACTCTGCCTCTAGCGACCTCAATTATAGTGGGAATTTTTGCGCCAGTGTTTAGGGACGTTCAATAGCTTCAATCTATTCAATCTAAAAGCTTGAACAAATTGGATCGATGCGTTAGCTTTGAAGGTCAAACCTTTTTTAAACTTTTCTAAAAATGTTAAATCAATCGTCTGAAAATCTACATACGACACGTTTGGGTTGGCTTTATTTCGGTTGCAATTTGTAGATTTTAGAAGTCCAAAGTCAAAAACATTGTTTAGACGTTGGTCTAGACACTAATGTAATGTGGGGCTAATGATCAATGCGCCGTGGGTTCGAACCCCATCGTGTCCAATGTGTTTCTGATTAATTTATATTTTTTCTAAAACGTTATAGGGCTACGTTTGGAAAACAAAATACATTTATGGTAAAAATTCAACAAAACAGAAGAAACCGGTGTAATCTTGTTCATTTTGGTTTCAGTCTGTGAATTGCCTAACATCCAACGACAAAATAAGTAGACAGCACATATTGTTGAGATGTTATATTGCCTAGGCCATTTCATCTTCCATCACGTGAATCAAATTCTTGTCTGTAGACCAAAACCCTTGTCAAAAGAAACCTAGGTTCAGCTGAGACGTTATATTAGGTAGGTCAACTCACAGGCAGTCAACAATAAATAATAAAACTCTTATTTCCCGCTCAAAACATCTCTCAATATTGAAACACTATGAAACTTTTTAGGTTATATAAATAAAACCACACTGAACAAACCCTAATGGCATTATTCAAATAGATCTTCTAAATTAAATGTTAAGAAGCCGGAATCGTGAAATGCTTTTACTGAAGGTTTGAGACAAATTAATTACTTCGTGCTGTGATGTTTTATTTTGTAAGTAGTCTAGAAAAGTTATGAACAGTTCTTATTGAATTTGAAAATAATTCTTTTTTAAAGTTCATACTCTATTACTACTGTCTTCTAGACCAAAAGAGATAGAGTATAATATACTTATAAGCAGACACATTTTTGTGTCTGTTTCAGGTTTAAAATTGATCGAAATTCTATGATTGCCTGACAAGACAGAAACTTGGCTTAAACTACAATTTTTGCTAAAGAAGAGACCTCACCACCATTTTAGTAATGCGTTACCTAACGCTAACAAGAAGATAAAAAAAAAATAATTTAGTATTCCTGAGATTTAAGATTATATAATAAAACCATTGAGCACAAATTTTAATGAATAAAAAGATTTACATTGATGGTTCAGTAGAACGCTCGATAGCAACTCATGAGAGTTTGTTAAATATTTGGATTTTTTTTTCAGATTGTTATACCTGCTAGAAACTTAAAAGAGGTGTTGTTATTACCACATTTCGTAATCATTAAGGCATGGGTTTTCACTAATTTAGTCGTTCAAACACTTTAATCCTCCGCACTGGAACTTAATAGATCTTAGCTTTAAATCCATCTCCTCTATGGAAGATGAAACCTAAGCCCAGCAGTGGGAAACGGATTTAATTAAAATATACATATCAACAAACCCCTACAATCTCCTTTCCAGTGACTTAACTTTCAAAACATTTTTTATATCAGAGTACTACCCTAGAATCAAAAAAAGAATGTTTACTAAAATTGTCTATATGCCAGACAGGTCTTCAGCGTACAAGTAGGGCAAATTAACTTTATCGCACGTAGATCTAATACGAGATAGCTAAAAAGTTCCAATCCTGAATTATTCCCAAACTCGGGCAGATAAAGCGTGAATAACAAATGGTTATGTTCGCTGTTACAGCCATTTCAGATTCGCATACCAACCCAAGAGGCGATAAATTACTATGAAGTATGTTCGCTCATTGGTTCTAGTTCTACGATTTAAATATATTATCTAAATGTTTGATTTCTGGAATAAACTCTCTGGAAACACTCATCTTCAATTTCTTTTTCTTATTGAACCTGTTTGAATATACTTTAAGGCGATTTTATAAGCAACAACTTTTAGTTTTCTAACTTCATGATTGAAATCCACAATTCATTTGGATGCTTTCTGGACATTAGCTAGAATTGTTTAGCTTTAATGTTTATAGTCGTTTTTTCCTTCCCCCCGGGCCGCCGTACAGTTTGGACGTGCTTTTAGCGCGAGTGATAAAATAAAAATTTAATTTAACTCTGTTTTTAAACAAAAAGTTACGCAATAAATAAAACTACGGTACCAGGAGCGCATACAGTGAGTAGCAGTAGACAGTGCCTCCTCCCGCCAAACGCTAGCCCCGCCCCCAGTGCGCACGCGCCGCTCGTAATTGGAAGGACGGCCGCCAATTGGGTCAAGGACACTGATTGCTCGAGTTAACGTATTGTGAACCTTAATCATATTAAAATATGAAGAAAACTCCACCGTCGATGATCCATGCAGATTGCGATGCCGGTGAAAGCTCAACGCAAGAGAGCGACAACGTTAATACGAAGTTGCGTCAAAGGAAAAAAGTGGCTCGGGACGAAAACGACGACTTTCTCGTTTTAAGAAACGAGATGAAGGAATGGCTGCGCACTTTCCAGCGCGAACTAAACTCCAAGCTTGACAAACTCCGGGATCAACAGAATAGCCGTTTAGAGGCTATGGAAGGGTGTATCGCTGAATTATCTTCGAAGCTCTCGACAGTCAACGAGACCAGCCAGTCCATCGAAAATTCGATCGAATTCGTCTCCACAAAAATAGAAGGTATGCAAGGAAAAATCGACAATTTCCAAAAAAATATTATAGCATTGTCGGCTCAACTTGTGGACCTCGAAGAGAAGCACGAAGCCCTAGACCGAGCCATCCACAAAACAACTATTGAAATAAGAAACGTTCCCAAGCAAAGTCAACCGCCGTCCAAAGCCGAACTCTTCGCCTATTTAACTCAGCTTGCGTCTAGTCTACAAATTGACTTTTCAACTAGTGACATTAGAGACGTGGCCCGCTTCACCAACAGAAAAGATAACTCGACTTGGAACCTCACCGTTGATCTATGTAATACCCTCACAAAAACTAACATCTTAAGCGCTGTTCGAAAGTATAACAAGGAGCACAGATCGAGTCAACTGAACTGCAGCCACATAGGAATGGTGGGACGTACTCCTATATATGTCTCAGAATTTCTTACACCGAAGGCTAAGCGGCTTTTCTTTCTGGCGAGGGAGTTGGCTAAATCAGAACAATACGACTATTGCTGGTCTTCGAATGGTAACGTATATCTTAGGAAAAATAACGGATCCAAATACATCCTCATAAAGAACGAAGAGCAACTCAACTTGCTAAATAGCGCATGACTAGTCTTAATTTTACTTAACTTATTAATGTCAAAACATAAATCAAATGTAATGTTATCAATCCATTACGCCAAGTTATATAGTATTCTCAAACACCTATTAAATTGTTTAGTATCACACTTCAGTTATCAACATAGTTATTATAATTTTACTCTAGTCGGGTCGATCGTCTTGGAATTTCTAAAACAAATGTTCTATTTATTTTTATTACCAACACTCCAAGGAAACATTAATGTCATTCCTAAACACTTAGTTATCTCATGTAAAACAATTAGTTGTACTACAAGTTATACACTTTCTTCCACATTAACCAAGTATTATTATAATTTTTTAAAGGCAAAGTTTTGCGTCCTACTACACCCATCTATTTAAATTCGATAATATTAATTTAATTCGCGATATTGACAACACACATTTTATACCCAATGAATACCTTACATATCCTGAAGACTGCAAAACTTTTTTCAACTCTTCCAACTTAACAATAGTGTCCCAAAATATTCGAAGCATAAATAAAAATTTTGATAGTTTTCTAGTTTTCCTAACAAGACTTCAATTCAAGCCGGATTTAATCATTCTAACAGAGTGCTGGATTGATAAAAACTTTACAGGCTTATTTCTTGACGGATACATATGCACTTTCTCCCAAAGTTACAAAAATAAATGCGATGGAATTGTTATATTCTACAGAAACTGCATGAACCTGATTACTACTGAACCGGTTTATCCTGAAGCAAATTTTCTAGTTAGTGTGTTGAATAGTGAAACGGTAATCATATCTATATATAGATCTCCATCCACATACAACGTTGATGCCTTTCTCAACGCACTAGAAAACATAATTCTCTCCCACATCGGTCAACCTATCTACATTATTGGGGACCTTAATATAGACCTGAAGGAGCTGACTGACGATTTGAGAGCTTACAAACTGCTAGAGCTAGTGAATTACCATGGATTTATCCAAGGTCAATTCATTCCGACCCGCGGAGATAACTGCTTAGATCACGCTTTGTTTAGATCAAACCTTCCTACAAAAGTAGCCGTCTGCCCTTCCCAAGTCACTGATCATATGTCTGTCATTATCGGAATCGAGCAATCACGTCCTCACACCACCCAAAAAATTAATTCTTCTATCTCTTATCAGGTAATTGATTTTGATAAATTAAAAAATGACCTTTCTTCGGTTGACTGGAGTTTTATATGGTCCTTTACTAACATAAACGAAGCTGTCACGGCTTTAACAAACAGCTTAAATAAATCTATTAAGGCCCATACCAAAACACGATCCCAAAGAAATTCCAAAGCAATCAGAAAACAATGGATGACTCCTGGACTATTGCGCTGTGTTAGAAAAAGAGACTATCTACACTCACTAACCAGAAAAAAGCCGAACAATCAAACACTCCAAAATGAATACACTCAGTATCGCAACTATTGTAACAATATCCTCCAAAACCTTAAAAATCTTCACGACAGCATGACTATACAAGAAAATAAAAACGACAACCGAAAACTCTGGAAATGTATCAAAAATATATGCAATCTTAATTCTAATAAAGAAAATTCAAGTAAATTACTAAATATCAAACCAAACCCGGAAGAATCCCTCAATACTGTAAATTCATTCTTTTCAACGATTGGCGAAAAGATTTCTACAGAAACCTTGCTCAAATTAAAGCGAACTGAAAAAGATCTAGTCCAGAATATTTCCATTCCCTCCAAACCTAACTCTTTTCTGTTTCTCCCTTGCGACGAGCGTGAAATCCTTAAGATTATTAACTCCCTCAAACCCCATGCGGCCCCAGGACATGACATCATAAGCAACCGTATAATTATTTCCCTAAAAAATATATTAGCAGCGCCTATAGCATACATTTGTAACCTCAGTATTGAACAAGGAATTTTTCCCGAATCGTGGAAACTTGCGTACATTACCCCAGTTCATAAATCCGGTTGCAAGACGCAAGTTTCGAATTACCGCCCTATCTCACTTCTCCCAAGCTTAGCTAAAATTATGGAGAAAGTCGTCAATACAAGACTACTCAATTACCTGGAAAAGGAAGACATGCTAGCTAATAACCAATTTGGTTTTAGGCATAACAAATCGACAGAAGACGCAACTACTGCTCTGGTTGAGACTGTTAGCTCAAAATTGGACGAGGGTCAAAGGTGTATTGGTGTTTTTCTCGATGTAGCGAAAGCTTTTGACACTATCTCCAGACCAATCCTGTTGAAAAAAATGGAAAGATTAGGATTCCGGGGCAACATCCTAAACTGGTTCCGATCTTACCTATCCAACAGAAAACAAATAGTCAGAATAGATAGTTTAAAAAGCCTGGAAAAAGTTGTCTCCTACGGCTTGCCACAGGGTAGTGCAATAAGCAGTTCTCTATTTCTAATCTATATTAACGACTTATGTACAATGAAGCTTTCTAATGCCAAGTTATTCTCCTTCGCTGACGACACGGCGATTATCTTTTATTCACGTTCCTGGGAACAAGCCGCCCTCGTTGCCCAAACGGGTCTCACCCGTATTTCTCAATGGCTCACCAATAATCTTCTTTCGCTTAATACAACAAAAACTAAATACATTTGTTTTAACATCTCTAAGGCAACTGCCCCAAAACCAATCCCCCCTATTAAACTCCATTCTTGTCATAACCCCTTCTCGACCTGCCAATGTCCAACCATAGAATCGACTGATTCTATTAAATACCTCGGGGTAATGGTAGACTCGAGGCTTTCTTGGGGTCCTCACATTAGTTATCTGTGCGCTCGTGTCCGAAAACTTTCAAGCGCCTTTAAACGCCTCAGTAAGGCGGCAGAGACTAATACTATTAGAACAGTCTATATAGCTTTATGCCAATCTGTGTTATCTTATTGCATTTCCACATGGGGCGGTGCGGTAACAGGTCTTATGCTCAAAATAGAACGGGCACAGCGTGCTATCCTAAAAATTTCCCTTAGAAAACCGTTTCGGCATCCAACTTCAGAATTATACAAAGAATGTAATCTCCTGACGGTCAGGCAACTGTATATTATATCAACTTGTCGTCGCCAACTCAAAACGCCATCACAATCTAAAACATCCGAGCAAACATCTTTAACACAACGAAAAGTCCAATTCCGAACTCCGCTCAAACACACCTCTTTTGCCCAACGATTTTTTACTTTTAAAGGTCCCTTCCTGCTTAACTTATTCATTAATAAAAATATAATTAGCCCACTTACTTCTTATTCTTCCCAATTAAATAAAATTAAAGTGTTTCTTCTAAAATTAAATTATACTCAAACAGAAAACTGTATTAAGGTTATTGCATGACAAAATGTTATCCATATTTTTAAGTTTATTTTTTATTATTTAAATACTTAGCATATAATAACTTTATAAGTACATAGTAGATACTAAGTTTTTCATTGTTTTTCTCGAAATGCACCGGAAGAGTCTAGCCGCCCACGACACAGGGAATCCTAGTGTGGGGGCTAGCACACCCTGTAATGATATGTACACAGTTTTGGTGAATAAAGAATTTGAATTTGAATTTGAATTTGAATTTGAATTTGAATTTTTCTTGGTAAGTCGTACTAGTTATTTCGTTACGAGACAATTGACAATTCGAAAGAGCACGAAAGTAATTTAAAATAAGAAACTCTGAAATTACAAATTGTATTAAATGAACTCGAAAAATTTTAAACTACATATTATAACAAACAATTACTTTTGATGCAGTGTTTATTAAATATAGTAAAACTTATCTTTTTTTATTCTTTATCATAGAGGAGAACAGACAAATGGACTTTACTTGATGGTAGGTGAAACCCCCAGGTATATAAAACCTACATAAGATGTCGAGAAAAAAAGTCGCCCTTTTTTGGCTTTGAGTATTCGGAAATCAACAGACTGAAACCGAATCGCGATTAAACTTGACGGCCTTTTTATGTATCAACTGTGGTTCGTGACCCGGACGTAATTTAGATATTCCCATCAACCATTTAATATCCAGATATCCAGACGAAGTTCAACATGTTTCAGGAAAATGTATCATTATATTACAATGTGTAACCTCGCAATAATAAGTAGCATGCCTACGGGCTATTTACGAACTTCAATAATCCATTTTGTAAGTTCTTTTTTCCATATCAATACTATGCAGATAGGCATTAAAAATAGTTTGATCCAAAAACTAACTCAAACCACGACTGAAAACATAAAGCTACCTTCTCACTCTCATATGCATGGCGTTGTTTCATAGTCATAACACAAAATGTTCACTATTTTTTAGCTACACTCCTAAAGCATTATTTTTAATCGTTCTGTAAGATGTCCTTTTCAAGAAATTTGATTTACCTTCTTAAAAATTAATATTGCAAAATATGTACTTATAATAACAGTTATAGACTACCAGACAGCATGACGCTTTTATATATTTTATTAAATTTTTATTCAAGACATAAAAATTACCAAATTTACTATTCACTAATTCAAAAATAAAATATATTTTTTAATTTGATTGCTATCCTATCTTTATTCTAACTTTATCGATCCTAACTTTATTGAATTTTATCTTTTGTTAAAAATATTAATTTACAAAGTAATTTGCCAAATAAAACCATGAGAGTTCAATTTTGACTACTGAGTTTAAAATTGAAATATGACTATATAATAAGAATTATAATTCTCGAAATTACCAGCTGTCTAGCCTAAAACAAAACTTTTTAAAAAGTAAATAAGAAATTACTTACTTGTAATGCAAGGCAATAATCACATACAAAACACTATTAATAATATCCACAAACACAAATTAATCCTCGGTTCACGCGCACGAATTCGATAACGAAGGGCGTAAATTACATCGTGCGATTTTTATATCAGCACACATGCAGCAACTACGGCTGTAAGTAGAATACTGAATATCAGCACGATGCACTGTTTTCCACGAGGATGTATGCGCGCGCAAATCAAGCCTACCGCCCTTTGAATTAGTCTGCCCTTAAATTGTGTTGCGAACTATTAAGTTTGGAATTCATTATTTGATCAGTAAAATTGATTCAGTGTTATCTACGAGTATACTAATATGTAGAACTGAAGAGTTTGTTTCTTTGTTTGTTTGAACACGCTAATCTCAGGAACGAATTCAAAAATTATTTTTGTATTAGTTAGAACATTTATTGAGGAAGGCTTTAAAACATAGTGCTGTAACTAATAGGAACGAAAAAATAACGGGAAATGTGAAAAAAACGGGGGACATTGTTTATGCTTGTTTGTGGGTTTCCGTTGCGAAGGCTGCGAAACGGTTCAAGATGCCCAAGAAATATATAAGAGAGAATGATTCCTCTTTAAATAATCTAAACAAAGTTTATGGCAGTATAGGTCTATCTTTTAAGACAAACTTGCAAGAACAACGGGACGCGGATAAAATCGTGGGTAAAAGCTTAAATTTATAGAGTTTAACAGGAGGCCCAAATCAACTATTCTAAGCGGACGAAGTTGCTGACTCAGCTAGTATATAAATAATGTCATGAAGACAAATAAATACAAAATGTAGTAAGTCAAAAAGATTTGATATAAAAATAAATCTCATTATAGTTTCTTACCGTTTCACTTACTCTAAAGTCTTGGTAATAATCAACGGGTCGTGGACTCATTCCCCAGGAAGTTTCTCATCAATCCAAATTTATTAATAATAATCTTCGTCTATAAAATCTATATTTGAAATGGATGGTAGAAATGTTGAATAGTTTAATCGCGTTAGTTTCAAACCATAGATTTCCCAATGTCGGATGACAAAAAACTTGGATAGCGTATCTTCTTTAGATGTCATATCATATGGCTAGGAATTTCACCTACCATCAAGTTCACTACGCTCCTCTGTCCTTGTCTTTCACTTGATTGAAGGTAAAACGCCATATCCTATAGACCTATTTGGGATACTCGTAAATCTACAAACTGAAACTGAAAGAAGATTAAAACTTGACTTGGCTTTTTCATCTGTCGACTGTGGTTTTTGACCACAGTCGACAGATGAAAATGTCTGTGATCTTCTTTAGATGTCATATGGCTAGGAATTTCACCTACCATCAAGTTCACTACGCTCCTCTGTCCTTGTCTTTCACTTGATTGAAGGTAAAACGCCATATCCTATAGACCTATTTGGGATACTCGTAAATCTACAAACTGAAACTGGAAGAAGATTAAAACTTGACTTGGCTTTTTCATCTGTCGACTGTGGTTTTTGACCCGGGTGGAATTTCGATATTCCTATCCATTTAATATCCAGATTTCCAAACGAAGCTCAAAATAATTACCTTACCTGTCTGTCCTGTTCCTTTAAAAAAACTAAGATTAAGAATCCATTTATTGGTTGTCATTATATGTTTTCAAAAATAATCAGAACTCAACGTGGGAAGATGTTACTAACCTTATCTTCATCTAGCTTCATCACCTTTTTTACCAACTGCTAATGGTTTTCATTAGCCATTTTCACCGTGATGAAGCGCGAAAAAAATTTCCTCGGATGTCGTCATTACTGGGTACAATCAAGAAGAAAATTAATAGTCATTCCCATTTGTCCTCATAGTGAAAAGATGGCACAAAGGATAATGCTTATTTTGAAGCATTTAAAATATTTGAGGATGATCCCGGAAGTAAAATATACCAGGGGGTTGTGAGGGCATGTTTAAGAATGAAATAAAATACCTACGTTTTACTTGTATCTATTGTTATCAAAATAAAATTAAAGATTCTTGATTTAACCACGACTTTGTGACCCCCTCCTAGAGCCAAAGCTGGGCCTGCCCCCTAGGTGCAAATAGAAAGTGAACTTTTGGGGTAATAATTAATGTTGTTTGATATTTTTATTTATATAAAGGATTGATATTTGATTAAGATTATTTAAGTAAGAACCACCTCTAAATTATTCTTCTTCTAGTCTAGTCTATTGTATTATGAAGTCTATTTTAATAGGCTTCTTTATTGTATATAAAATCTTTTGTTATCAAAAATAGGAAATTGAGTTTTATATCTTTATTAGTTTATGTAAATGTTTTTGTATTCAACTTATTACGAAAGATTAAAATACCAACCGAAGTTTAAGTACTTACTTACACTACGAAATCCCATTTCCCCCTGTGGGGCATAGGGCAGACACATTATGTATCCGTTTCACTCATCGATTCTTTTACAGGCAAGTCGTTGATCAGACTTTTGTGTCCTGCCCGATAAAAAAAAATATTTTGCCCCTGTGATTCAAACCCAGGACCTCTCGTGATTAGGGCAATGTTAGGCGACACGATTAACCATCTGGCTACTGAGGCTAAAAAGCTATTTAGTGCGGTCAAAGTCGCATACGCAAATTATATTTTAGGCAAAAGGTCGACGAATCAATATTTAAACTGATGTTAGTCTGAAATTGTTATCTATAGAATATATAGATATAAATCTACAATGTAAAAAATGCTAGAATATTTATCGTAACAAACAAAAAGACTTATCTATACAATGGATCTCTGTGAATGCAGACGACAGAAATAGAGAGTTATTGAAATAAAAATGTTTTGGATCCGTGAGCGTTTATGCCATTCTTTATCTCGTTGTTGTGCTTACATATTACAGCACAAATTGTTATTTTACAACTATGAACTCTTTCTATCTATCAATTAACCAAATTTTACAAAATGTGAAAAATAATAATATTTCTAGCATGCCACTATATATTTACCTTCCTATATATTGTTCAAGTTTGATTCTTCATATCTACCAGTTAACCAGACTTTACAATATGTTAAAACTAATAATCTTTCTAGCATACTTTTATGTCTGTCCAATTTGAATCAATTCCTTGATTTAAAACGCGATATATTAAACTTATTTGGAGATAATTTTACGAGGAGTCTCCACGTGACCACGTGCGGCTGTATTTAAAATAATAATAATAACGAATCCTCCGAATAAGTTTAACTAATATATATCGCATTTTAAACCGTTAAAATTTTTTATTTAAATGTGTCTACCCGCGAAAATTACAGAGTATTCAATTCCCCAAACCCAGGAACTTATTTGCTGGAGCTTTACATAGTACAACTTAAAAATAATTAAAACCTCCCACAGTCCAGTTTCGCATTGAACCTTCGCAGGGTCCCATCAATCACAAATCCGCGCGTCATTGTAGCGAAGGCCTCGAGAAGGCTGTTCTTAATATATAATAGCTTGATGCAAACATAATAAGATATTTTTGGATATCTTTTGTCAATGCGGAATGGATAATGGCTTGCGTGGGAGGATGCCGTTATCTCAACAATCAAAACATACGAGATTGTCAATTCCAAGTTAATGCTGTCGGCTCTTTAATCTTTGCAGACGTTTTACAAAGAATATATAATAAGATTACATTGATAACGTTCATATGACGTCACTTAAATATATATGAGTATGATAAAAGGTTAAGCTGTACAGCTATCAAGTACAAGAGGCTAATTATTAACGGGTCGTGGGGCCAACATGTTCCTAAAAATCAATCTATCTATACTAATATATAGATCTCTAGCGATTGTTTAAACGCGCTAATCTCAGGAATTACTGGTTCGAATTGAATAATTATTTTTATGTTTGTTAGATCACTTATCGGGGAAGGCTTAACGCTCTTTAAAGATCACGCAGAAACAAATAGGTGCGATGAAACAGCAGGAAATGTGAAACAAACGGGGGAAAATATTCATCTTTGAGAGTTTCCGTTGGGTACGTTTAATTAACTTTCAAGAACGACGGAACCTGAACGACGGTCGCTCGCGATGGGACGCGACCAATGTCGTGGGTTACCTAGCTTAAATTTATAAAGATGAGGAGGAGGAATTTGGATTACCGAAATAATTACTCTACACAGACGAAGTCGCTGACACAGCTAGTTTATAATAAAGAAACATATTGGAATGGAAAATGTGGTTAATTAATGAGTGTTAGGAATGTCGAAACTGCTGGAGTTTCGACATTCCTGGTGGAAATTTTGTGATGAAATTGCCTATGTTACGTTCCGCCTAGTTAAGTAAGTTTATACCAACGATGAAGTGTATTGGTTTTCAATGTGGTCTGTAAAAAAAAGGCCAACTGCATAGATTCAATTCTACATAGTAATAATAGCCAGTAAATACATATAACGGAATTTAATAGTATTTAAATAAAACACGGTTAACGGTTGATAACACGAAATATAACTCAAACTCAAACTCACTTTTCCGGCTGTTCGGCCGAAGTGAGCGAAAGAGCGAAAAGAGATTCTCGACTTTACGCAATTTTGTAATCTTCGAGCAATTGAGGAGTTAACATCTGATGATGTTTCGGCATGATGATGGTGGTGAAACGTCTAGAATCTTTTCACGCTCACTTTGATAGTAGTTCAAAAAAATATTTTCGAAGCAAAAACATTTTCAATAACAATTTCTAATTCTTAATTTAAATTCTTAAGTCTTATCATATTATTGTTTACATTCTTGTGCACTTTAACGTATTTACCACACGAAGTCGGCTGTTACTTAAAGAACTTGCGCAAAAGTTTCGTATGCTAATTACTGCACCGTGCCGCTTCAGTAATAAGAGGGCAGCGCTCACGAGCGGCATGTTTAGGAACTAAAATTTAAAGCCTCTTTCCCCTTTCTAAAGACCAACAAACTTCAGCATTTCTTTAGTTTTACAAGCGACTGGAATCTGCACGTTGCCGCAACTACTACGGTAGCGGCCGCTGCCGGTCAATGACTTGATGATTAAAAAAATTTGTTTCAGGCTAGTTCAATCAATTAAAGTAATATAATAAATAAATATAAACGTGTCTGCCTTATACCCCAAGTAGGAGAATTTATTAAATCCAGTATATTACGAGTAAGCATCTTTTAAATTGTGCTTTAATTAAAAAATTAAGCTATTTATAAAACCAAAAAAATATATAAAAATTAGTATTTGTATATTAAAGAATAACAAATTCATTGGATTGTATGATAGATAGAATATACATTCTCACCGCCTCTAGCTAAATAGTGAAGTTCCACGTTCGAATCCCGGGAAGACAGTAGATTGTTTGGGCTGAGGAGAGCATAGACGTCTGATCACCTTTCCGGTAATAAATCGATCAGTGAAACGGTAATACAAATGAATTTGTCCGATGCCCCACGGGAAGCGGGATGTTACTTGTGTAGTGATATCCTCAAATAAGCCATACAAAACGGTAACCAGCTAACCTCAACTGCATTCCGGCTTCAAATATTTGCCTTTACAGAGCTCTGTTGTTCCAATTTGCGTATGAGCATAATAAGAGCTAACATAAATACCGAGATATACAAAGCGTATTTATCATACAGTTTGGCCTATATTTTTAGCTTACAGCTTCACTTTTAACTTACGTGAAGTCTGTAATTTACGCGAGTAATTCACATTTAGATAAAACATTTTCAACGTTTTAAAACACGAAATGTATTAGCAGCCGTGGCCAGGAGGTGCTATTGCGAAACATCGGGCCCGTCGTCGAACGTCGGGTCGGTTTAAAATAGATTGTAAATAACTGATACATTTTGTGTTTAAAACTGTTAAGAGTGTTTTGATTAACTGTTAACTTATGTCTTTTATGGATGATCTTTGATAAACGGTCTATCCAAGAAGGTTCCTGTAGCGCGTTCAAACGAAATCTTCAGCTTTACAATAAATATGCAATTAATAACCCACTAGTTTGATTCTCACACTGTCTTTGTTTGTTAAACGCGAATGAATTACCTAATAAACGGTAGAATACGGATTGCTGAGGGCTCGTTATTGGGAGTGGTTAGTAAGCGACGCAATTTAACAACATTTAAAACACTTTATTGGCTCACTAAGACAAAGAATGACAGAAAAATAAGAGAGTTGTAACACTCATTCATCAACACTATTTAATAACGAAAAGAGCTTTTATACGAAATAAAAATTGATTATATATTGAAGAATCACGACACGGACAGGACTGGAACCGACATCCACAACGTTTCGTGCTGCTGCAATTGAGCTACCGTTGTCTATTTTTTCAATTTAAAATTGATTTTTATGTTATATAGTGCCGTCATTTGAAAGATATTAATGTTATCAGAGGTTTTCCACGATCAAAACAAATGCATCCGACGCGTTAAGTTCTAAGTGAAATTAAACATTTAAATAAAACACTTTAACGGCTTAAAACGCGATATATTACTTCAACTTATTTGAAAATGACTTTTAATTTCGGCCCGACGTCTCGGCTGCTGCAAAAAATTAAAAATCATTTTCAAATAAGTTTCACTAATATATCGCGTTTTAAATCGTTAAAGTGTTTTATTTAAATGTGTACTACTCGCGTGAACTATAGACAGTATGAAATTAAACAATTTTAACATAGAACAGTTATTTCTTAATAATCTCATCAGCTGTTACGAACAACATTCCCTGGTTGAAAATGCGGGTAAAACACCCTCCTATAATTCAAAACTGCTCACAATTAATCGGTACTCAATTAATCGAGGGTAAATCCTTGATCAATCACGACCTCATCCCTAATGATGGATACGCGATAGGAAAGTTTATGTTTAACTAGCTGTGTACCGCGGTGTTACTCGTACTATACTAGGTACTGAAATAACATAACCTGCTATCTGGTTTAGCCGTTTTTAACAATTGTTTTTAAATAAGATTTCAAATTTATTAACTTCATGCTTTTGGAGGATGAGTAACTTTGGAGTTTAAAGTAAGTCAAATAAAATATATCCCATTTCAAACCGTTAAAAATGATCAATTACATATGTTGGAGTAGACATTTTTATGCCATTTAATACAATATTATTATTTCAAAATTATATACATATTATATAATAACATAACTTATATTGTTTATGAAGCACCAACCCTGTCAAATTAAATAATGTTCTCTTCTTTTAATATTATAAACATTCCCCTAATTTAAGTTGTATAAAATTTAAAAATCGAAAATAAATTGAAAAAATTTTCGACTTGTTGCTCGAGAACAACAGCACGGAACGCTGACGATGCCGGTTCAAGTCCTGCCCGAGTCGACAATATTTTCAATTTATTTTCGATTTTTAAATGATATAGTGCCTTCATGTGCGATAACATGTGAAAAATATTAATGTTTTCAAAATTGTATTAAATTATTTTCCTAAAAAGAGATCGCTTAAAGCCGCTTAATAATAAGGCCGCCCGTTACAATCCATACTCTATAGATATTATTATTATTTTTAGTTTATCGTAATTGTATGCGTGTGTTGTGTGATAAAAAAATAAATAAATAAACGGTTTTTCTGTTTTTAATGATTACATGGTGGTGTTATATAGCCCATATCCTTATAAGATAAATAGACTACCTTTTTAATGAAACCAGTAGTTTCCGAGATAAGCTCGTTCAACCAAACAAACAAGCTTTGCAGCTTTATAATATCGTAGCCTATCTATATAGGCCACGTAAAGTTCTTACTGTACTTGCTAGTGTTTCTAATCTAAGCTCCGATAACATTTGCATAGTATAGTTTTAGTTGCAAAGTTTTCTATTTACGCCTTCGAAAACGGGTGTTTGATGAGAAACTCAAACTTGCGTCAGCCTGATTTAAGTATGTTTTCCACATCGTTTGAAAATTTGTGGCACATTGAAGGGCTCGTTAGTCTAATGCTAACGACGTATGACTAATAATCGTTGGTTCGATCCCCACCGGGTCCAACAAGCTAATAAATTTACAATTTTTCTGAAACATGTTGGACTTCGTCTGGAAATCTGGACATTAACCTGGTGGTACAAATATTGAAATTCCACCCGGTCCACGAACCACTGTGCATAGATGAAAAAGCCGTAAAGGTTGATCGCGTTTCAATCTGTGGATTTCCGAAGATTCAAAGCCAAAATTTCGTAAATATACAATTTTTAATTACAGTCAGATCTTTTGCTAATCAGTATTTTTAGTAAGCATTTTTCCATAGACTGATGCCGAGAAAAATTAAAGCAGTCATTTATTTAAATTTAAAATCTATTTAGATTGATAAAAAATAAGAGAGAGAATATATAATACCATAACATATGAAAAACATTAAAGTCTTTATAAACTTCTTTTTTTTATTCTTAACAACTCTTAGTTCCGATACAAGTTATATTCAACTTATAATTTTGGTAGCGGCTATATTTTCTGAAAACACTCAATGTCAACGGTTGCCCAAACCACTCCAGCGATTTCACTGGTGTCGCTGGCACTATGAATAGATGTCGTGAATAAATAAGTCTTGAAGCCCGCTGAATTTGGGTCGAGCTGAATTCTAGCTTTATAGTTCGTCATTTTTAATTACTCCCTAAGAATGACGTCACAGCGATTAATGGGGTTACTTAAAGTTAATTAGCGTAAGGACAATTATCGATTATCGATCAATTGTACGATTTTACGTGGCACAAAAGTGTTATAAAACTCAACATCGTATTGATCGTTCTAAATTTAAACGAAACAAAATCCTTTTAAAGGAACATCGATGTAAGTAGTTCTGATATTGGTTTTATCTCTCTTGTGTTAGAACAAACACTATATAATCCTTAAGTACTGTAGTTTACGCGAATAGTACATATTTCAATGTAACACTTTTATATAACTAGGGGTGGACGGTCTCCCCGTAACCACGGCTGCTGTAAAGTCCGAAAGTCCGTACATAAATAAGTTATTAGTTACATTTCGCGTTTAAACCGTTTCCATTTTATAATCAGCCGTCGAGACTTTTATATATAATATATGTTAGATATTTACGTAATTAAATGGTATTTCGAGAGTCGTAGAATCTACATTTTCATGAAATTTACATACTACAGTTTCCGTCTTCAAAAACGATGTGATACCCAAATATTGGTCCATACCAGTCCTTCGTTTTAACTTCTACGAATTCAAAACACAGTTAATAGCGTGAAAATATGCGCAAGGTTAAATTGACTTGCAAATTTTCGTTTCATTTTAGGCGCCTTTACAGCATAGTTGCACGGGTCGTTGACCCTAGCACAGTCATTACTACCCTCTATTCTTTCAAACAAGTTCAGTAGGACAGAGTCATTCAGCGAGTTCACATCATTCATATTTTAGTTAAGTGCAGACATAATGTGGGGCAGGTTCTCATAAGTGATGTATCAAAGATAAACCTAGCCCAGTTGACATGCGGCTAATTGAATTATTAAGACAGTTTCGTCGCTGGTATTCGTTTTAAATATAAAAATGATTTAGACAAAAAAAAATAAGATTTTAAGTACCTCTATAGTTAAAATAACGTACCTTTTATGCTGATTAGGAAAAATTTATGCACATTTCAAATATTCGATGGCTGATGGTGTGAACGCCTAATGCATGCCCAAGTCGGGCGTGGGGAGTGTATAAATCGTACTAAAATCTCCTCGAAGAGGAGAACCACTAAACACTTCACCAGCCCGCTTCGGTGCTTTGAAGAGCCCTGTGAACACGTTTATACGACTCCAAATCAGGCGCGATTCGAACCAACGAACGTGCAATGTTGCTCTAACTCAGCTACCGTATCACACTACGGCCCGACGTTTGAGATGCTTTCCAGCGGCCGTGGTCATGGGGAGACTAAAGGAACGTCGGGCCGTAGTTAAAATAATTTTGGAACAAGTTTAACTAATATATATCGCGTTTTAACCCGTTAAAAGGTTTTATTTAAAAACAAGTAGTATTCAAAAGCACAAAAGTTAAAATGTAAATAGATGTAATTAAGGTCTATGCAGATAGAGAAATTACTCTACTACATTTTCAGACATCTAATACAGTTACGTTCGTATAACGAATCGTTATACGAACGTCATGTATAACGATTCGTTTGTGATATCTCTGTAATAACCCTATAATGTTATCGTTATAAAAATACTGTATAAAACGATTTCATTTCCCATTACGTTGAAAATTACGTGCGATAGGAATTGCATTGTGGAAAATGTTAAGGGTAACGACATTGTAAGTGCGTTGTTGATAACCAATGACGCAGAATGTATGGAAATTTTTATTGCACGTACGACATGCACGTACTCATATAAAGTACCGGCTGTGCCGGCGACTTCGTCCGTATAGAAAATGTGAAAATGGAGTAGTAATTTTGGAAAAAAAAATGTTATTGCAATCTTCCACCTAAACATGATATCAATTAAAGCTGTTACCCAAGTTGTCAACCCCGCCCCGTCGTTCTTGTGAGTTATCTTAAAAGATAGATATACCATGGCGTATATTTCTTTGATTATTTAAAGAGGAATTCTTTGATATATATTTTTTCGGTACCTTGAACCGTTCTCGCAGCGCACGCAATGGCAACCCTCAAAGATCCTAGGATTAGCGCGTTCATACAAACATACAAACTCTTCAGCTTTATAATATACTGTACATACAAGTACTTATATTTAAATTAAGTCAGATAAAATATTGTTGAGAATGAAATAAAATCTTCTATTCAAAGTACCATTGCCTAGCGGCTTTGACAAGACCGAGGTTTTGAAATGAGGGTCGAGCGAAATGCAACTTCGAAAATTTTAAATAAATTTCTGATTCTAACTATTACTTTCAAGTTGGACTAGTCTGCTACGACATCACCTGATTAAAGGAAGTAATAGAGAAAGACACTGATCAATACACCCCAGGACCACAACGGAAAAATTAGATGCCGTCGGCGCCTTCCTCAATCACTAGCCATAACTTCGGCCTTCGGACCGACCAGTAAAAGTGGCCAACTACATAGCCACGTAGGATGAACCGCCCGAGGGAAACAAGCGCAAGAAGATATACAGGCGCGGGCATGTTATACACAATTCACACAGTTGCGGGTTAGTGCCACCGCTCCCGCCCACATCTGTCAAGTCTTCTAATGGGCCCTTAGAGGCTTAGTGCATACTGGCCACGCTGGCTTAGCCCATACTCCCCCGTGTGGTTGATTCGACCCGGGTGTCAGTGTTGGTAATGATTCATTTCAATCCCATGCCACAGAGATTCCCAACATATTTCATGATATCCATGAACTTACAAATTTGTAAGAATGTAATTTTTTAGAAGAAACCATTATTACACAGTAAAATATAAATTTATATGTTTTTCAGTGAAACCTTTCCCTTCTTGATGTTGTATTCGGTAAAAACATGTGACTTTATTTTATACATAACAATCGAATTCATTTTCAGAAAATAGCGCATTCTATGTTTAAAAATACGTTGTTTTCTAGCAATTTATTTTACATAAATGTGACACGCTTTTCCATTTGTCAGCTGAGGTACTAGCGTTAAGGTCTTAAAGCATAAAAGAAATAACGACCGCGACGGTGCACCTTGAATCAAAAGCATGCGAATGAACACACAAAGACGTGACATCTCAAACACTCAAGAGTTGTCGCAACTCAGATTAGAAGCGGTCAGGGACGCAGTACTATTTCTTTAATATTAATTAGTGCTTTGTAAGTTTTTTAGAAACGTTCACTTACAACGTACAGAGATTAACTAAAACTATTTTTTTTATATATGTAAAAAAAACTAAAACTTCTTTGCATTTAAGTAGACATAGTATCTTTTAGTAAGAAATAAAAATTGGTCACAAATAACGCAAATGTTTAAAAATTAACCTATTTAAGAAAATAAAAAGAAATTCAATACGTCATATATAATATGTAAAACATTTAGAATTTTGTTTGTTTAAAACAAATTATTAAATTTTAATATAAAGTACCGGTTAGTATAAATATATGTAAATTGTATCTGTAAAAGGAAACAATCTGAAAAATGTGTAGATTTGTGGTTATGCTTTTTTGTTTAGCCCAAAGTGTATATTAATACGGTTTGGCATTCGTAGAAAATTTGGTAGAATATACATAATTTCAAACTGTGGTAAACCATTTCTAATATATTATCTACAATGCTATAGACAAAAATTATATTGACATCTTATTACAGATTATAACATCATTACACTCTGTGCTTATGCTGTTGTAATCTGTAGTATTGATTAATTAACAAACTTCAACGCATACTTCAAAGCAAAGAAGCCATTTCCTTTTGAAAATATAAACTTAATTTATAAGCGAATATATTTATGGAATACTTATTAGTTTTCTTTATAAAAGTTACATGTCTACGCCCTCCACGTGAGACTTCTGTTATATATTTCAAAAACATTGTATAAAACTTTGGATGATCATAAGAAGTGGCTGAGCTTTTGAAGTCTAATATAGCCTAAATTAAAATCAACGATGTCAAATATAGGCTACGATTTAGACACATCTGGGGGTCTTATGCCCGTAAGTTTACGTCGGCTTTTGTCATTTATTTCAGCAACCCTTTAATCGCATTCAAATATCCAAGTACCGGCATTAAATTGCCTAAATTTTATACCTTCTGCCAAGGTAACTTCACTCACGCCAGTTTTATTTGTAGTTAATTCGGGCGCTAATAAAGCCTCCAGATGAAGAAGTTAGTGTGCAGAAGGCAAAGAAATCTCAACATCCATATTACAAGCGGCCTGGAAAAGGCCACAATCATGACTCCTGCGATGCTTGTGGGGAAGGTGGAGATCTTATATGTTGTGATAGATGTCCGGCTAGTTTTCATCTTGGTTGCTAGTAAGTCTTGTTTGGGTTAAAAAGACTTATTGACTTAAGTATGTAACTGAGTACACAGAGTTAAAAGTTTCATTTAAAAGAGACTCCAAATATTTGGTTTTATATAAATAACAAAAAAAAAATTGTAAAAAACTAACAACAAGAAAATTGACACCACATTTTTTAGTATCAACATTAATATTTCAAAAGTACTTGCAGTATAATAAGTAGAATTTACAAACATATTATATTGTTTCTAAGTAATTACCATTGTGTGCTTTTGGTTAATCCACCAACTTCTCACACAAGATGTGTGAATTTTTACACAATAAATCCTACTATACATGCAAGGATTATTAACCTATTTGAGCTACAAAGATGGCATAGAATTTGGTCATATTTTTTTCATCCAATAGTGAAATGTTGTATTTGAATTTCAGTGATCCACCGTTAGACCCAGCTGATATACCATCAGGGCTTTGGCTTTGTAAGCAATGTACTGCAAGTGATGAAAAACCAGCTAGTACTAAATCAAGTAGAGCTCAATCTCCTGCCGAAACCAAGAATGAGAATGAAAAGAAAACAAGGTATTGCATTTAATTAAAAGATGATTCAACATTTTTTTATATATATTCTATTAATATATTTTGAGTAACTTTCTACTATTTACAATTATTTAATCAAGACTCCTAAATGCTTATGATTATTTCAATATATTTTATTAGATTTTATTACTATGTAATTCTCATTTTAATTGGATATTGACCCATTTCTAGTATTTAGTTCAGAATTACTAATAAATTCTCTTTTAAAGACATATATTATTTCAACACAATCCTAACAATAGACATTAGTCTATATTCAAAATATTAAGTAAATATATATATGCAGGTCTAAAATTATTTAAGAAATTAGAATGTGTTTAACTTAAATAAACTTAATTCTGTATATACAGGTCCCTTCGTAATCGTGCAAACTCCAAGAAGAGTAAAGATGAACTTGAGGAAAATGAAGAGGAAGTAAAAAATGATAAGGATTTAACCCCAATGGAGATACTAGTTAAAGCTGCTCGTGTGATGAATCCGAAACAATTTGATCTACCCCAAGAGATGAAGCAGCCATTTCTCTTTCCTGGCACAGATAAAGGTAATTCCATACTTATGATGATGTGTTCTAATTACCCAGCCTTATATTGATGTCCCACAAGAAAATAAAAATCACAATAATTCCTGTAAATTTTCAGAGGGCAGTAAAAATGGTAATGCTGCATTAATAACAGTCGATTCGTGGGGATGTGTGCCTCTGCCAGCTAAGACATGCTATGTTTGTCAAGGTACTTGCAAACTGGCTCCACTATTACAGTGTGATTATTGTCCGGCTTTGTTTCATTTAGTAAGTATTAACAAATATAGAATTGAAATACTTAGACGTATGTCTAAGTATTATAATAAAGAGATTAAAAGAATAAATTTGTTTCCTCCACAACGAAATTAGAGAGAATTAAGAATAAGAATTTCAAATAAACTATGTTTATACACTCTTTATGTTCAAACACAAGATTTAAAAAATAAGTGTTTGTTATTTGCTATGTCACAATTATTTAGAATAATGAATATGGAATATATACCTTTATATTCCATATTCATAACCTATGCAAAAAACAATTCTCATAAATATTTGATGAAACATTACTTGTATTAGTCTGACGTTTTAAATTGATGAAATTTCCAGGACTGTTTGGATCCACCGCTGACTGCATTACCGACTGGACGTTGGATGTGTCCTAATCATGTTGAGAATTTCATTGTGAGTGCTTTTTTATTCATTAAAGTTGATAAAATGTAAAAATACTCAAATTGTATTTTTATTATTTTTAAAATTTTATTTACTTCGCTGATATAGTTAATGTTTTCCCATGATTACAACCCGGGGTGTACATTGCTTAAAAGTGTCAATTTTCAAATTGTGGCATCAGCGGTTAGACTGTGAATTGAAAGCCCGTTTCCCCATCGTGGGGGGGCATGGGGCGAACACATTTCTGTGTCCGTTTCATTGATCCGTTCTTTTTTAACGGGCAAGTAGTTGATCAGACTTCTGTGCCCTGCCCGACCGAAACAATTTTTTTTTGTTTCCATGGGATTCTAACCCAAGACCTCTCACGCTCAACGTAATGCTAGGCAATACGTTTAACCATTTGGCTACAGAGGCGGTTAGACTGTACATGAACATAATTATTATTTTCTATTGGGGCCAAGGATAGAATGCCGGGTGATCAGTCCACGCCATTTGCTATCCGCTTCACCCATTTTACCTTTAGTTGCAAGGTGCTTAATAACCTTAAACATTGCTTATTAGGATTGGAAGTTAGTGTCGTCAATATCTGCTGTAGAGCGCGCAGCACTATGGGATAGATTCGGTGCACCGATTGACCAACACGCAGTCAAGGTGGACTTTATACGGCGCGCGCGCAGGCACACATATCGGTATAATACATTGCTTGTTCTTTTGTAAAAATATTTACTAGAAATGAGTTGACTAGAAATATGTTTTCTAAACAAGAAGATGTGTTGCTTAACTAAGCCATAAAAAAAATACCTTTAAAAAGAAAACATTAATATTATTTGATTTGTGATATAAAACAAGACTTTTCACATTTATAGATAATTGTTTTTCTTTGTATTAAACTAAATTTTCCGTTTAGAGTTCCAATGGGTGTACGGGGACGAGTAGTTGTGCCCCGATGCGTACGCGCCCACTACCGCCGTCCGCCACCGCTGCTACCTTCGCGCAGGGAACACGTTCGCTGTCGTAATGGTACATATTTTGTTTACATTATAGCTTCTTGTGCCGTGCTTAACTATACTTAACGGTTGTATTTAAGTTCCAAACAACATGTAAAGTTAGAACCAATGACAAAAAAATCTATCTATACTAATATTAACAGCTGAAAAGTTTGTTTGTCTGAACGCTCAAAAGTTACTGGTTTGACTTGAAAAATATTTTCAATATGTGTTGGTTGGAGCATTTATAAAGCTATAAAACATCACGCTGCGACCAATTAGAGCAAAAAACAGTGAAAATGGGGGAAAATAATTCACGTTTTAGGGGTTTCCTTTGCGTGCGCTGCGAAAAGGGTTCAAAATACCCAAAATATATAGGAAAGAGTGATACATCTTTAAATGATCTATAAAAACCCGTGACATTATATGTCTTTTTTAGGATTAACTTACAAGAACGACACGACACGACCGACGTCGTGGCTATAATAAATAAAGAAAAGAAGATTTGCAAAAATAAATTTTGATGTACAAAATAACTATTGTACGTGGACGAAATCGCTGCCACAGCTAATTTTATACAAAACTCTAATATTTACAGAGGCATAATGGCTTGACTAAATATATGAACGAAAATCTAATTTTTATAATTAGCCTGTTATAAGTTTTTAAGGATAGTCTTCATGGCTTGTAGAGCCTGACAGTATTATATTTTAAATAGACTCAATTATTATTTTCAGTTTTAAAAAATCGTCTCCCATCTGAATCTGAGTCAGAGGATGATGCAGAGTCCACACACAAGATATGTTTGAACACAGATTGTCCAAAGTACTCTGAAGGGGAGTGTCCAGTTGAGAAACCAGAGTTGATTGGAGCCAGCGCTAAGGATGCTGAAGATGATCTTAAAGCTATTGAAGGAGATGTGGAGGTACTAATCATATTATTTTTGTCTGAAAAATAGAGGATATGTTAAATAGAGTATGTAATAAGTAACTTGAAGACATTTTAGTAAATAAAAAGAGAGGACCACCGTCCACAGATGAAAAACTCGTAAAGTTTAATGTTGTTTCGGTTTCAGACTGTGGATTTCCGAATATCCAAAGCCAAAATATATAGTCTGTCCTGCTCTATATTTAAAAAAAACATGTATTGTTTTCACTTTGACCCATAAAAGGATTCCTTTTCCAAAACTACTAGCTGTAAACTAGTAGGATTTTTGACATGAATGTTTATGTGGCTCTAAAACAATTTACAGGCACCAAAATCAGAAGACAAATCTTCAGAGTCATCGGACTCAGATATAGACCCGGATTATCTGCTTCGAGTCAAGCGTCGTAAGGCGCGTTCAGAGGACACAAGTCCAGGCAAGAGGGGAAAAGGGGAGAGAGTGAAGTTGCGAGGGGGACAAGATGTTGAGGAGCTGTTGGCCGTCGTTGAAAAACAGCTAGATAAGCTGGATGAGAGGCTGGTCCGGGTGTTGGCATGGCAACGGCTTCAAGAGGTATAACATAAAAAATCTGGACGCATTTGAGTAAACATTTAACGGTTTAAAACGCGAAGTTAAGTAAAACTCATTTATAAATTATTTTAACTACGGCCCAACGTTTCGGTTGCTATGCAGTAGTCGAGGACATGTGGAGTATAAATATAAAAGGTCAAAGCAAACCTGCGAAGTTGGCTGGATCCTTGCAGAAGAGACTATTGGTGTCTTCGCGTTTGCTCAAGGTTAATCAATTCTGCAAGGAACAGATGGCGCTAGCGTAGCAGTTTTTACTTTGACGTCAGCGACACCCTCCATCTTTAGTCTCCCCGTGATCACGTCTGCTGCAAAGCATCCGAAACGTCGCGCTGTAGTTAAAATAATTTTTAAACGAAGTTTAACGAATATATATCGCGTTTTAAACCGTTAAAGTGTTTTATCTACAGACAGTATTTAATGTTCAACATATTTTTGTAGGTGGCTCTTGGTGAACGGGCCTCAGGCAAATGGCGTGCAGCCACTGACGAATTAGGTTCGAAGGCAGCAGCAGCCATACGCCATGTAGAGAGATCACAGTTGGCCAAGCATGGACTTCGCTGCACTACTTTACCATCGGAGCTGTTAGCACGAGCTGATAGAGAGAGAATAGCGACCTTAGGTAAAAAACCTGAGAAGTTAAAAAAACCTTAAATGCTATAAATATCTTCTAGCAGAGCAAGATATCTTCTGTACGGTTCTGTACGTCTCTCTCTTTTTAGGTGAATTGTCTGTGCGAATAATAAGAGAAAAGTGTTTACAAATTTTATTCTTCTATATATTCAGATCATAATAAATAAATATAATTTTCAGTGTGGGGAGCTCCGCCCCCCAAGAACCCCGTGGCAATTAAGAGCGAAGCGCTAGAAGCTGCTCTGAAGAGGATGATCGCTTGTATTACTCAGCTGCATCAAACAGATGGGTGAGATAAAATTAAACTATTTAAATTAACACAAATATAGTGCCAAATATAGTTTATTAGTGTAAACACAACACTTAATGCCAATATATATTATTTATTATTATATTTATTCCTTACCCCTCCAAACTTACCACGGCTGCTGCAAAGCATTTATCAGCAAACGTAAGGCCGTATTGTAAATAAATTAACTAATATTAGTTAACTTTTTTAACTGTAAAAATAGGTAACAAATATATTTCTCGTTTTAAACCGTTAACGTTAATTTAAATATTTCTACAACTGATTCAACATTTAACATTTTGGGAAGTTTGCTTGCTCGCTTTTTAACTTTGCTGCTCTTGTCTGATCTTTATTACACTTCTGAGGATAAATAGAATATAATTATACTAATATATTTCGCGTATCAAACCGCTAAATGCGTTTCAATTGCTTTATGACAGATTTCTGTATTCGGATTCGGATTTTTTCTGTATGTTATAGTGATACAAACCGCACTTAATACTTATATATTTTACAGCAAAACTGGTGACGTCACCTTGGGTGTGTCAATTCCGATGCGTTTGTCTTCGCTGACAATCGGAACGGACGCATCTTGTGGCGTGCAATTGGATTCGTACTGCCGACACGTGTCCGGGAAACACGCTGTTATCTTTAAGGATGAGGTATGTACATACATTTTTGACAAGCTTGCCGTTTTACGATAGCCATATGGTCAATATACAACTAGTCATTCAAACTCCAGGGTATCCAACATATTACTAAATCATAATATTTTTTTTTCTAAAACCTGTGAAATACAGAGAGTGAAGCTGTAGTTAACCGCGTTGCTAAGTTAATATAGGTCGATTCTTAGTTGAAAGTTGGGCAATGTGACTTTCATATCCTGTGCATATCATAATCTTCTGTCCTCCACTGTATTACATAAATGCTATTCGATGTCATAGAAAATGTATGGTGTTATGATAGAGAACGACAGACAGAAGTCAGAAAGCTACAGATTAAAATCGATACCAAAACGCTATTAAACTTCACGGCTTTTCTATCTCACGACGAAGGTTCGTGACCCGGGACTTTCATTTTTCCTACCATCCATTTAATATCCAGATTTCCAAACGAAATATTTGTGTAATATCTGAAAGTTTACGTTGCGTGCGCTACGAAAACGGTTCAAGCATGTACAAAAACAATAATAATCTAGAAAATGTCAGTATATCTAAAGATTAATTTACAAAAACCTTTTTTATGTCAATTAAATTTGATCGAAATACTTCATATGACAAAAGAGCGTTTGGCAGCAAAGCTATCTTCTAGTAACAAGTCTATAAATATATCGTCTAATTTTCAGGTGTCTGGACATTTTGAGCTGATCAATTACTCCGAATGGGGAACTGTCGTGAACGGAGTGATGTACGCGTGTGAGCTGTCCGGATGCGATTCCAAACAAGAAGACGAAGAAACCCGACCGAGCGCGTTACGCCATCTCACGGACAAAACACGTAAGGAAAGAAGGTGAGGATATGTTGGTTTTGTTATATGTTATCTATTTTTACTAATATTATATAAAGCTAATCTCGGGAACAACTGGTTCCAATTTATAAAAAATCGAAAATTTCGTGTTGGTTAGAACATTTAACGGGAAAGGCTATAAAACATTCCGCTACGACCAAAAGGAGTGAAGAAACAGCGGGAAATGTCGAAAAAAACTGGGAGAATTATTTTTCCTTGTGGATTTACGTTGCCTACGCTGCGAAACGGTTCAAGATTCCCAAAAAATGTATGTGAAACAATGATTCCTCTTTAAATGTAAAAAAACATGTCCGCGACACTATGTATGCCTTAAGATTAACTTTCAAAGACAAATTTTGATGCCCAAAATAACTGTTCTTCTTGGACAAGGTCACTGAAATAGCTACTGAAGTGATAAAGATGATATTAGCTAGTTGGTTCAATAATTATTTTATGTGAACACTGATAATTAACAAGCCTAATGTAATTTCAGATTAAAAGACGCCATAACCCAACCGCTGGGCGACGAGCGCGAATGCCAGTGCCCGCTGACCCCGCCCTCCTCTTCAGCAGCATGGGAGGGTTCTGCCTTGGTCCCGCACGGGGCTCTACTGCAGTTTGGATGTCTGCTCTACGTGTTCAGCGATGCTGACCCAAAACCCTTCCCGTACGAGCAGCCTATTGAAGAGCCAGCTCTATAAGCAAACTACGAGGGTTATAAGCGTAAAATGAAGTATCGTTAACAATATGTAGGGCGGACACATCTGTGTCTATTTCACTATTCTTTTTTACATTATTGAACTGTGTAACTATAATTTTTGCGTTTATGCGTGTTTCGGAACAACCGAACTACAGTGGCTGCCTGAAGAGGTTCCTGCTTCCTCTTTAGTTAAGTCTTAAAGTATCTAAATACTTTTATTCTTTTAAAAACTGTAATATTTTTCACATGGCATTGTATAAATTAAACAATCTATTTAGATTGAAAAAAAATACGTCACGGTCGGGTCTTGAAGCGGCATCCACAACGTTCCGTGTTCTAACCAAATTGAGGTATCTTGTCTTGAACGTCATTGTCGAATTTCTTCTACCTATTGATGCATGCTCTTCTCGCTCAATGTAATTTCAACCGATTTACGCAATGAGGTTTCTTTTTCTTATGCTTTGCAGCTAAGAATTATTGACGATGAAATTAAAAGTGTAACGTCTCAAAAATTTTGTATTTTTCAAATGCTATAATATGATGAAACTATATAAATTAAAAATAAATGCCGATGTTGACAAGCAGTCTCTTATCAACGTATCTCGGTAGAGAAGCTGTGTTTTAGGTATTTTTTTTTAAATCTTAATAGATTTTAATTCAATTTCCACGATGTATTTATTGCGACGATATATAAGATAATTAATATCTATATTTAGATCTACACATGAGTTTTCAGCATTACTTGAAAACTAGTTTTTTTCTTCGCCATCATATTATATAAAGTTAAGCAGCTTTTGGCATTTACAATTATTAATTCTTTGGTTTATTTAGTGTCTATTTCTTAATAAAAGTATTGAGTCAATTTATTTTTAATCTTCCACGCGTACTTTACACTGTTGTAAATCTAATTTCACCAAGAAATTATAACAATAAAGTTGACTTTTTTATATAAGAAAGGAGATAGACAAGCAGAGGGTTTACTTGATGGAAGGTAAAATAGCCAAATAACATCTCAACAAGATGTGCTGTCGACCTATTTTGGCTTTGGATATCGAAATCCATAGACTGAAATCCGAACTACGCTACGCGGTATTTAATCTACAGACGGTGTCTCATGATCCGGATGTAGTTGTATATTAGCCATACATTACTACCTTTACAAAATAATTTAACCGTAAATGAAACTACTTCAATTTGACGTACACATGATTAAGAGAGTCGCTACTGTGTTTCCGTTGAGAATATTCGAATACTCGAATATTTATTTGCCTTCCGTTTCCGCTTGACGTGTTTCCGAAAGTGTCAACCGTTTTTGCAATTTCCGTAGAAAGAGAAGGTTGTTTAAGCTACCTCATCGAAATTTTTGTGCTTTTCCCCAGAACACTTTTACCGTGATTTGTTAAATTATTGTAAAACAAGTGTTAAAAAAGTGAAGTGTGCTGTTTCTTCAACTGGTAAGTTTTTCTTTTCTTTTTATTCTCACTTATGTTAAATATTGCTATTCTATCTGTTGGAGTTTATAGCGATATATGGAGTTTATATATATATATTGTAATTGGCTGGCAACATTTGAAATTCACAAGATGTTTTATGTTAAAAAACTTCTCTTCTCGACACGCCGGTTGCAACACGTCAGGGTTTTTGTATCGAGTCATGTATATATCAAATTATGTTTAAAGTGAAATAATGAGCTAGTATATGTATATGTAGTATATATATATGAAAGTATCGAGTGGGTGTTTTTAATATATATCTATCCCCCCCCCGCCCCCCCGGGCGGGGAACCCCGGGGGGAAAAAAAAAACCCCCCCCAACCAAAAACCTTTTTAAAAAAAAAGAATAAAAAAAAAAAAGGTGTAAGGGCGAAGCAGTTGAGTCTTATTTAGTTAAAACTACATTTCATCCCTTAAGAGGTTTTTATTAAACACAGCAAAACCGACGATTTTAAACTTTTCTTTCGCGCACGAAAGCAATGCCTCTGATAATTAAACTTTAATTTGTAGACTTTAAAAAATTCCCCCCCCCTCTTTTCGCCTCCCAATGAGCCGAGATTCCTCGGACGTCGAGAATATAAAAGCGTGTCAAATATCGGTCAAAAAATGTTGTTACAAACTATTCCAGTGACACTTGTTGGGTTTAAAGATTGTCAATTAAACAAAGTTTACAAAAATAGCCAAAGGTCTCTTAAACAGAATTAAATGTAGGCGGCGATTAAAATGAGCGACGTATAAATTTCTGGCACCTGAAAATCGGAAGGTGTCTAGGAAGATACTTCGACAGTTGTCGATACACCACTGGAAAAATTTATTACATAAAGTATGTATTAAGTAATTTTGAACATTTTTCTAGTGTAGTTTTTCGAGAATTGATTTAATTTTTAACTTTAGGGAATATGTTAAGGAACTTATTTAAGAATATTCTCGGACTATATTACTAGCATAATCTGCAATAACCTCTTTAGTCTAACCTTAAACCTTACGCTGTCGAACGCACCGAATTTTGTTACTGTTTTTATTAACCACAGCTTTTTAAAGTAAATAATGGATCATCCATATACTATATTTCAACTTAACCCAAAGTAAAATCTAAAGGAGTGTCGTTCTACGACAGCTTCTCAATTTCGCCGCTAGAGGCGCTCAAGCAAACGTTGCTTTGCTTTTATAAAAAATGAAATTAGAGATTATAATGTCTTTACCTACCTGCTAATTGTAATTATCTAGATATAGCATATATATATATAGTGTGGACACTTCCACAAAGAATGGGACTTATAATGGAGCCCATAAGGACTAAGGGACTAAGACGAAGAGCAGAGATTACAAGATTAACATTTAAAAGACAGGTTTAGTCTTATACAACCAAAACAGTATATTACAGTTTTAGATAAAAATTAAATTTCTATTCATCACCATTTTCTTCAGGTTCATCAAAATCTTTTATCTTGACATCTGCATCTTCACCAAATTGTATTATATTGTCTATTGTAATTAAAATATTATCTATGCTCTCTTCATCTTTGATGTTGAGTGGACAGAATCTGACTAAGCTGAAGTTATCTATGACTTCACCAATGGCTTCTGTTAACTTTGCATACTTTTCGTGCCATCGTGATTTGACATTTCTCATTTCAGCTAATAGTATGTGGGGGTCAGGGTCTAAATAACTGGAAATAATTTAAACATAACCCTTAAGATTTTCATCTTATTACTATATAATTTATGCTTAATAAGTTATAAAGTTTGTCCAAATAATTTTATATACTTACTTGTCTAGTTGTTTTCTAGCTGATTTACTCAAAAGATCCATTTTAGTTAAAATATTAACATGTGGAAGCTCTAAATTTACCATTACGCTTAAAGCTGCCATTGTGCCTAAAATTTATGTTTTAATAAATAATTATTGCCTAAAAAGTCAATTATTTTGTAAAAATATCTATATTTTTATATTTACTGTAAAAACAAAACATAGTCATCAGAACAAATATTAAAATTATGTATTACTCTTACCAGATAGAAACTTAGCCCCATCAACCATGAACTGGGAATCAATCAAGAACACCACACAGATCCGAAAATTCCATTTTTCTAATTGCTCCACCAGTCTTTTTATCACTGGCAAGTGTGTATACAACTCAATTTGTCCGGGACAGTCGAACAATAAGTAATCATCATCAACATCACCTAATTGTTCTTCCAGCCAGTCACAGTTTTCTAGTAATGTCCTGTTAAAAATACTTAATATTACTGAATCAACCCAAACAAACTGGCTCTGCAATGTTTTTCTTTTCTTATTATCCTGTCTATTTTTTAAAATATATTTTCTTAAGTAGTTCAATTTAATTTTTTTATTAAGTACCTATAATTTTAGCAACCAAGTTGTTTGCCCTTTTATGCTACAATTATACATTAAAGTTTTTTTTTAATATCTAGTATATTACAACATTGTAAATTAATGCTGTAAATGTGAAATAATGCATAGAATCTGTCCAAAAAAAGTACTATAACTTTGATTGTTTATATACTCTAATGACATTGGTATCTAAATCTGAATTGCCTTTCTATTATTGCAATTCATATCCTGTTAATGTTAAAGTAAAAGCATATACTGTCTAAAATATATAATACAATGTAACACTGAGTTACTTCAACTTACTCCATACAAAATATGAGCCCACCATTTGGACCAAACTGCAATTCTTCGTCCTCCATCGCATCATCTAGGTGTATTAACTCCCGGATGTCGACGAGAGGTTCATAATCAAAGTGTTCAGCTGCCGGGTCAAGATTTACAACTTCTACAATCCTATTTGAGTCTGTTGCATGTTTTACCATAGTGGAGCAGTAGGTTGACTAAAAGAATTTCAAGATATCAGTAATTTTGTTTTAAGGGAATGCATTTGTATTCTATAGACACCGGGTACTAACTAACCTTTCCGCTACCAGCGGGACCAACAACTAACTGAGCATAACGCATTTTGGCAATTAGTTATTTCTTATTTACCGTATAATTTTAATAACAGTCAATTTACTATATTACCACCATGTAATCATATTTTGCGTAAAATCACATGTATTTTCATTTCTCTTATTTGTTTACAATTTACATGATAGTATGTCAAATGCTAAACAACTCTTATGTCAATTGTCAATACTGTAATGTGACATTGACAATACACCAAAAACTACTATTTACTTTTTTTTTTTTTTGAATGGACTCTTACGTATTGTGTTCCTAAGGAGCCACGAATACTAACCGGACGTTTTGGGCGGGCGCGTTAGCGCTCGCCGTGTTTGCGACTAGACCAAGGGTGCCCCGAGGGGGGCAACGGCCTCGGCTTGGACCGCCACAATGAGGGTGGGAGCTTGAAGAGCTGGACGGAAGCTCACCCGGGTGAGCGGTACGCGTAGCGAATGAGACCATTTACTAAGGGACGACCAAAATTTAATTCAGAAGAATAAATTAAAACAAAAGCGAGATTTATTAAACTTGATTTTATAACAAATTTGATTAGACTAATTTTAAGAGTAATATTTAAGACAATAAATATGAATATAACTGGCACGGAATCTGGACTGAAAAACGTCATTAAAAAAACGACATTAAAACGTAATATTTTGTCAAAAAATTGTCAAGCGAATATTTTATGTATAACAACTCCATTGCAAAAGAAGCGCAAATAATTAGAAGATGCCAGCCATTGGGATTGATTTGGGTACAACTTACTCCTGCGTAGGAGTATGGCAACATGGTAACGTCGATATCATAGCAAATGATCAAGGTAACAGAACAACACCCTCCTACGTTGCATTTAATGATACTGAGCGGCTGATTGGTGATGCAGCTAAAAACCAAGTTGCACTAAATCCTAGTAATACTATTTTTGATGCTAAACGCCTAATAGGCCGTAAATTTGAAGATCCGAAAATCCAGCAAGATATCAAACACTGGCCTTTTAAAGTAATTAATGACGGCGGTAAACCTAAACTTCAAGTCCATTATAAAGGGAGGGCTAAAAATTTTGCACCTGAAGAAATAAGTAGCATGATCTTAACGAAGATGAAGGAAATCGCAGAAGCTTATCTCGGAACTAGAGTACAAAGTGCAGTAATAACTGTTCCCGCATATTTTAACGATTCTCAAAGACAAGCTACAAAGGATGCCGGTACTATTGCTGGTCTCAATGTTCTTCGTATTATTAATGAACCAACTGCTGCTGCTTTAGCCTACGGTTTGGATAAAAATTTAAAAGGCGAAAGAAATGTTCTTATATTCGATCTAGGGGGAGGAACCTTTGATGTTTCTATTCTTACCATCGATGAAGGCTCTCTGTTTGAAGTCAAAGCTACTGCCGGCGATACTCATTTGGGCGGCGAAGATTTCGATAACAGACTTGTTAATTTCCTGACAGACGAATTTAAACGGAAGCATAAAAAGGATTTGCGCGGGAATCCGAAGGCTTTGCGACGTTTAAGAACTGCGGCTGAGAGGGCGAAGCGCACGCTATCTTCGAGCACAGAGGGTAGTATTGAAATAGATGCACTGTACGAAGGTATTGACTTCTTTTCGAAAATATCCAGAGCACGTTTTGAAGAGCTCAATGCTGATTTGTTTCGTGTCACTTTAGAACCGGTAGAAAAGGCACTCAAAGATGCAAAATTGGATAAGAATTCCATAAACGACATAGTTTTGGTAGGAGGTTCTACTAGAATTCCTAAAATTCAAAATTTGCTTCAAAACCTTTTTAATGGAAAGAAGCTTAATATGTCTATTAATCCCGATGAAGCTGTTGCTTATGGAGCAGCAGTTCAAGCTGCGATCTTGAGTGGCGAGAAGCATTCTAAGATAAATGTAGTTTTACTAGTGGATGTCACTCCATTATCAATGGGTATAGAGACAGCTGGTGGCGTTATGACTAAAATTGTAGACCGGAATGCGAAAATACCGTGCAAACATTCTCAGATATTTACAACGTACTCTGACAACCAGCCAGCCGTCACTATTCAAGTTTACGAAGGCGAAAGATCTTTTACAAAAGACAATAACTTGCTAGGAACATTTGATTTAACCGGTATTCCACCAGCACCTCGTGGAGTTCCACAAATTGATGTTTCTTTTGACATTGACGCTAATGGAATATTAAACGTAACCGCTTTTGAAAATAGTACAGGAAAGAGTAAGAATATTGTTATCAAGAATGATAAAGGTAGGTTATCTCAAGCGGATATAGATCGCATGTTGGCTGATGCTAAGAGGTATAAAGATGAGGACAGTCGTCAAAGAAAAAGAGTTGCTGCTAAACACAAGTTAGAGGGCTACCTGTTTAGTGTGAAGCAAGCACTTGATGAAGCTGGAAGTAAGTTTGGAGCATCAGAATGCGCGAAAGGTCGAAAAGTCTGTGTCGATGCTTTGTCTTGGCTCGAAAAGAACTCTTTGGCCGAAAAAGATGAGTATGAAGATAAATACAAGGAAGTAACATGGGCGTGTGGACCTATAATGAAAAAACTTCATGGCTTTGGAAGAGGCAAAGACGGTCCTGTTATTGAGGAAGTTGATTAGAACCTAAAACGAAATAACACTACTGAATAACTTTCAATGCTTTTCGTTTTCTTTTTTGATTTTTTATGCATATTATTATAATATCACCTTTGAATTATTCAGTTGGATCACTGCCTTATCCTAACAAATGGACCAATAAATACTTCATCTTTATCAATACCTTTCTGTCATTTGAAATGAGGTTTTTTCAATAGTTTTAATTCGGTTCTAGTTCTTTAGAATTATTTTACATTTTTTGTTTAAATAATAAAACGAACATTGATTAGCAATTTCTTTATTTTAATTCAATAACTTTAGAAATTGTTCAGAAAGAAGACAATGGTTTCAGCGTCATTAATATTATGATATGAACAATAATAATTACCGCTATAATTTTATTACTATGTTATTATAATTTATAATGGGTAATGTTCTAATGATGCCTATTTCCTACATATACACGGTCCTACGTTTAGACCCCATCGTCACTCCAATAACGTAACACAAACTATAAGATCAATCACGGAGAAAATATATTTTGGATGTTTCGTGAAAAATAAAGGCGTCTTATGGTGTGGGTGTATGCAATTTTACATCAATTGTTTAATAATACCTATTGAAAGTATAAATATGAGAAATACTTCCACATTTTTGCTTTTCAAAATATTCAGGCGTTCAACAATAATACTATAAATTCTATTAATATTCAATAAAAAGCAAAAGGCTACGTTAAAAACGAAGACGAAAAGCAACGTTAAATAGATATTGTTTATATTTTAAATTAAACTCTGTAAAATATCGACAATAATTATATTCATGAAATAAACAACTCGTTTACTGTTAAACAGCCTAGTGTCATCAATATTGACTATTATAGCTACCTTACTCTACTCTTATCGCCATAATAACATCGATATGTATGGAGTTGGTAATACCAAAGTAATTCTACGAAACCGAATTTCGAGTCCTTCATAAGGGACAACCCATTGATTACGACACACTGAAAGGTCATGTGAGGCTTCATTTTTTTATGACACATTTAAATAGTAAGAAGTAATGCAAAATTAACAAAACTAGATGTGAAGTGTAGGTGTATAATTTGTAGCGCGTAGAACATTGAATGCTTCTCGCTTTGAACGCTTTAGAACGCAAAATAAATTAGTTAAAATTGTTTACTATATTTTTTGAACACAGACCCGACGGATTTCGGTGCCTTGCGGTAAACGCGCGGTCTGATTGATGAACTTGTAAACAAGGCTAACTAATTTATTTCACGTTATAAAACCGTTAAAGGTCTGATATTTAAATATATACTGCTCGCGTAAATTAGACAGTATTCAACTTTTCAATAATCAGATGTATGTGAAGAGACAACACTAAACTTTTTCACAATGCCAACTCTTAGTGATGTGTGACATGTGACGTCATTCTAAACATGGGAATATACCCAGCTGTGACAAGATCAGGCAGGGGTCAGTCATATTGAAAATTGTGTGTGACGTAATCCACAGATCGCCCCCAATTTAATAATTTGGGGGGGCTAACGCTATCAAGAATTTGGTTTCAACATGTCGAGTTCAAAATTTTTCCTTTATCATATCCCCGTTTACGTATAATTTTGGGTTGCTATTACCTACTTATCTATTTGGCTACCTAATTAATTTACGGCCTTGTATATTTACACAATTATAAACCCATTTTTATTTACAATGATGCAAGGGGTACGGTTCCCGTTTCAATGTACACGTCGTTTTTAATCTAATCGCTTAAAGGAAATAAAAACAAAATAAAACAAAAAAATCTAAATAAGATTAAAAGCAAATTTATTGCTAAAATAAAATAAAACTATAACCTCAAGCAATACATTCTTTGCTTCTTAGACTTGTCTGTGTTTGTACGTTATTTTATAAAAATCACTGTTTCATATAGTAAGTATAAAGTTCTTGTAGAAAATGTGTATTGTGACATCACAACTTTGAGCTATACGGCATTAAATAAACGTAGAAAAACATAAAATTGTATAAAATAAACATTCATAATTTAAAAGGAAAACTCGCATAACCCAATAATAATATTTTTAACCTCACCGGTCTATATAAACATAATAATACTTTTCACTGGGATTCAGTGTACCATTACTTAAATTTACATCTGATTGCACTTTAAAATTTATTTAACAATAAAATGAACTATATCTTAATTTATCGATATCTTACATTAAGTCATACATCTACCTACATAGGTACATATATACAGACGTTGAGACGTTCATATTTGGTATATTTATGTACAAGAATCGAATCATTATAATACTTAAGCTGTAATTCAGTTTGTACCTTAGTACGTAATACATAATATAAAATTAAAGCAAAATGCATTATTTTGTATCGTAAGTTCGTCGGGCGTGGCGCCATCTATTTACAGTCTTTGGCCTTGCTTCGAACTAAGTCTATCTAGGTCACTCGGCGATCTCAGACGTCCGACTTACACTTAACTAACACACGGACCCGTTTTAACACTCACAAAAGAGTCAATTCACTCTAATACTCCCACCGGTCGTCTTCTGTTTCTGTTTTAATTTTCTCCTCTGGGAGAACTTCGGGAGGCGTTCTAGTCAAGGGGGATGGTGCTACGGCGGGTGAAGTCTCACGTGGCGCAGGAGAAGGCTCTATACGGACCGTCTCTTCCGCTTCCCTCCTGAAGTCATCACTTCTCATGACACATACCCCGTTTATAATCACTTCATCAGGGTTTCGAGGTTTCTCATCTTGCCAGTCAGGGTTCACCCATTGAGGTGCCGCGGGCTTTCGTCGACTCGACCTCGCCGGTGTAGATGCAGCTTTTGGCTCGTTTTTCGATTCATCATCGAGGGAATCCTCCGACCCTAAATTGCTTTCAACATCATCATCTTCGAAATCATCTGCGTCTGGTTCTCGTTTTAGTGGCATAGATAAATCGAGACCGCTCGCTGTGTCCTTTTGATCTTCAGGTGGTAATAATCCTCGCCCAATCAATGCTGCAAAATTGGAGTTAGCTGCAAAGTAGGGCGGATATGGCAAGGGAACACCCGCTAAGCCCATTCTTTCTTTTTGTAGTTCTAGTAGCCTCTGATTCAGCAGGAGTCTGAATTGAACTGGGTCAAACGGCGCGGAGGACTGATCCCGTGCCGGAGGTTCAGCGGGAAGTCCGTGAGGCGCTTGTTGCTTCAAGCGCATTCGATGGTTGTGAAACCAGTTCGTAATGGTACGCGTTGAAAGCCCCAATTCAGCAGCTAAGAATTCTATTGTCGGCATATTCGGATATGGATCTAAAGCAAACGCCAGCCTTAACGCTTCTTTCTGTTCCTCAGAGAACAATACACGTTGCTTCTTAGCTGAAGGGACGCCAGATGTTGGGCCAGGTGAACTGGAGTGGTAAAACTCGGATGTGTCATTAGAAGATGTGTCTGAAGAGTTATCTTGTCCCGGTCCGCTTGATCGTCTTCTCTTATTAGCTTCGCGCCTCTCGTTCTTCAACGCTTGTAGTCTGTCGATATTATGCGCATCGCTAAGCCACAACTGCATTCTGATAAACGGTTCTCGGCCTTTTATACTAAGCATATGCCAGGGTTTCGGTTTAGATAGGAGTTCACTAACAGAACCCTGTGAAAGTCCTAATACAGCTTCACCGAAAATTTTCTGTCCAATATTATTGGCTAATAGAGCTTCTTTAATTTTGGTGGTGATGGTTTGGGTATCTAGATCTTGTGTCAATGCAGCCATTTCATATACACTCGGTGACATATGCTGATGAAGACCTCGCATTTGTTGATGATGCTGCGGCGGTGGTGGGGGTTTTCGTTCCTTGTTGTTGTCGTGATGCTGCGGTGGAAGTGTAACAGCGTGGTGAGGAGGGAAGCCCGGTGGAGTCAGAAGAAGTGGTCCAGGGGGTAAATGAGGGAGGTGAGGACCTAATAGTTGTTCCTGTTGCATCTTGCTGAGGAGGGATGTTGCGTCAGATATCATCTTTTGCGTAGGCGGCATCGGCTTACTCATATTTGGCGGACATACTGAAAAAAAGAGGTTGTATATAAGTACTCTTCAATTATCAAAACAGCTGCATTGTTAGGTAATTATTGTTCTTTGTGATAAGGTCCACGTCTAAGAAGTATCGTAGTTTTTGGTAATTTACTGATGAGTACTTCAATGTTGGCGAAATGTTTTAAGTAACAAAAAAACTAGATCAATTTGTTTAATATACTAACCAGGTGCTCCGCTATAATTTCCAGTCCTCATGAGCTTTTCAGGCGCGATCTTGTACTGCGATGCAACAAGTTTGTGAACAGCGTTGTCGTCTTCCAAGAACATCTTCATACGAATGAAGGGTTCCCGTCCTTTCTGTGTTAACATGTGCCATGGCTTTGGTCTCGCTAGCAGATCACTAACAGATCCTTGGGACAAGCCCAACACAGACTCTCCGAATAATCTCTGACTAATTGAGTACTGGCTCAGCGCTTCTTTCACTCGTTTCACTATGTCTTCTGTGTTGAGATTGTTAAAGAGATCGAATTGTTGTTGAGTAATTGGCGGAAGCACAGCTTTCATAGATCGCTGCTGAGGCGCGTGATGAGGAGGATTTGGGGGTTGAGAGATCAGGCTGTTGGTGATAGATGCCATTCTTTGCAAAGGGCTAGCTGCTGCTGAGCTATTGAAATCTTCATTGGGCGTTATAGCCGGAGGGAGGATTGCGTTGCCGAGTGGGCTAGACGCCGAGGATCCTGTAGATTGCTGTCCCGGTTCTAGCTTCGGCCTAACTAATGAGAAAGCGCTTCCTGCGTGTCGGATCGCTTCTTCCGCGTCCATTTTGTCCTTATCACTATCAGTCAATCCGTTGATTTTGGCATTTTTGTCTTTAGGAAGAGAAAGGTCTTGGACCGCTCCCGATCCGTTTATGTGGGTCTGCTGCATCTGCTGGAGGGCGATGAGATTCGGGAAGGGCGGCATTCCAGGTAGGTTGTGGAGTGGAATATTCCCACTGGATTGGAGCTTGGCTAGTTCCCTGTGGTAAGCTTCCAGCGCCATTCGGATGTCTTCGGGGGGTCGCTCCATGTGTGGGGGCATTCCACCACTGAAAAACGGAGGAAACATTCTGCATGTTAGTTTTAGATTTGCTGTTCTCATATAATTTTTTTGAATATAAACATATTTAAAAAGAAAATGAGCCACTGTTTGTATCAAAACATAATAATAAGTTCGGCTCAATAAGAAATGGAATAATAGCAATGAAAATTCATAGATTTTAATTTTATAGTGACATAATCAATTACCACATCTCTGTCGTTCCTTCAATATTCCATAATACGCAAATTCTATTAACTTACCCTGGAAACCCTTCCCGATTGTGCCGCATATCCTCTCGTCTGGTCATTATTTTCGCCAATTCCTCTTGATATATGCGAACGACTTTTTCTTGGGGAATGTCATCGTTTTCATACTTTTTCAGCCTTCTGTTTTGACTCGAATCCTGTAAGTGTTGTTGAAAAAACCGCATTGTTAATATTTTTTATCGATTTTCAATAATATCATTTTGAATTATTTTTCGTTATATAACTTGACAGAAAAAAATAAACAAGCAAACTACACCTTGTGATTGATTGAGGAAATAAATATTTTAATATACAGTATCTTTTCTTTTCCTCTGTGTTACAGATAAGCACAGCATTGCTTATTTAAAAGTTAAATACTTATGTTCTGGTTTAGAAAAACGTAAATTATATTGTATTACATAATATATGAGTATTTAGTTGATAAGAGTTTAAAAATAAATAAATCTCAGCTTAAGTAGTTATCGTTATTATTTTTGTAAGCCACCATAGAACAGTTATTGTTTTGTTAAAGATTTTATTACGATGTTTACCTTATTCGAGAACGGCGAAGGGCATTGTGTGCGTGGCGAGCTAGAATCCTCATTGCTCATTAATGTGCTTGAATCATCATTATTTTGCTGCCCCGTCGGTGTCTTTATCATATGTGATGCTTCCGTGAGAATATGAGCCAACCTCTCGTCACCCTCGCCGTCTGATCTCCCAAAACCACCGCCCGCAGTACCATCTTTTGTTCCCACTGAAAGGCGAATAAAATAATAAAACACTATTGTAAAAGCTATCGTTCTATTTAAAAATTAAGGTGTTACCTGAATAAGGACTAATTAAAAATACGCGGAAAACGAAAAACCGGTGTTGCCAAGCTTACGAAAATTATTTTTCACTTATTAACAATTAATCACTTATTGTTCGAACTTTTTACACAGTTAAACAACATATTTCTGTCTGACACACAAAAAAGATCTTGTAGACCTAATCATTAACTTCGACCACGACACTCTTAGAGTCGACAATTACGAATCTTATTTTATACAAAATTAAGTAGAACTCGCATCGAGGATAGCATCTCAACAAAGAAACTATTTCAGCGTGCATCCATTTGTAACAATATTTCATCGCATACAATTTTAATTGCGGTTAAATTGTGTTGTGTACATAGGCGGCCGGCTCGTCTTGCCAAGTAATAAATACTAAAGTTATATTTGTACAATTGAAATTAGGTGGGTCATTAAAGCGAACAGTGCACTACATTAATGATATACGTTGAATGGGGGCAATCGTCGCCTAAGCCAGTAATCCGGCGCTGGCGCACCCATAAACAACGAGAATAACGTGAAAACTACCCGCCATATTGCGACCATTCATTTGTCAACATAATAAGTTAGATTCTGGCGTCATCATTATTTCAACGTTGATACATGATGTATCAAAGCATCGTACTTAGATCAGTCTACATAAATATTGACTGGATTTCAATTTGAAGAAGCAGGAAAAATATTTCGATTTTATTGAACATAAAGCATAGTATATAGTACCGCCACATTTTTTTTTACTGTTTAAAATTATTGATCTTAGATATTTACTATCAGCCTAATATACGACAGTAGGTATTCGAGAAGGTCTATGATCTAGCATATCCTAAAGGATATAATTTTTGCGGCCATGTTTGTGATTTCTATCAACAATATCAAAAATAGCAAGGTTATTTACTTAAATGTATTTCGTAATCATATTGTGGTAGAAAACGACTTTTTCATCAATCAGTATTATTTAAATGTATCATACTGCAATGTAGGAGTGCAGTGACATATTTACAATAATTCTCACGATACAACAGTGCAAAACGATATTGTACCTACCCACTTCCTTTCAATAAATATTAATAATTATAAAAATATCTAATCGCGGAACCAATAATGAGTTCACGAACAAAAGATAAGGACTTATATAATGCGGTCGCTTATTACATTTTTATCAAAACTCGAAAAGTTGGAAAGTAGCAATTTTTTTGTCTAGATAAAAAGTGAAATCCAAAAAGGTATAATCATGTATGTTTTATTTCTATAAACTTTTATATGAAATATATTTTGATTAATGCAAAACTACAAGAAAATAACTTTAACAATATAGGATTCCTCTTTAACTAATGCCCTAAAAGTACTCAAACACACCACGTATACATTAGGGGTTTTTGTGAAGTGAGTAGATGCCTCCCTGTCGTATATAATTTATTTTATTAAAGCCCTATTTTATTTTAAATATTATAATGATTTGATTAATTATATGATCATGTTCTATATATGTAGGAAACAGTGCGCCGCGTTGATAAAATAAATATAGTATATATTATTCATTATTTCTTAGAAAATAGTAAAGCGTTAACTAGTAAATTGTGCATCGAGTCTGCAGAAGAATTAGAAATCAAATGATCCAGTAACTGTCCCTTAACAGTTATGATGGTTGAGAAACAGCGGTCCGTGAGAACCCCACATAATGACACATTCGATGACAATATGAGATTACGCCTATTTTAACAATAGACTATAGACCATGGTTAACATGTAACCACAGATTCACTATGTACAATTATTTTTTAGGTTTAAAATACTTAACTAGTATTAAATTAAAAGGTGTGCCCTATTAATAACGGTCTAATTCGGTTCTTATGTTTTTTTTTTGAGTTTGACATATAACACCTGTCGGCACACTTTTGCCGCGTTTTTGGAAATATTTACTCTGTGGTGTGTTAACGACTACGAAAACGAAGGAGACGTATTAATTTTCAGAACACAAAGACTTAATTGCATTCTTAAATTTTATTTTGAAACCGACAATATGTTCAACGGCGCATCGTAATTTCACTTTAGTACGCAAACGAAAGTAACGCTTGATTAATTGGAAATAAAGATTAAAATAAGATGCAGTTTATTGTTTTTATTCGGGAAAATGTTTTTATTGCGATGTAAAGTGCCTTTAATTTATTGTAAAGTAAAAACGTCAATTCGGATAATCTGGGATGCGTCTTGTTAACGACGTTCTGGGGAACGCGATAATTATAAACGTATTTTAAAAAACAATAATACGAACATTGTCATCAGAAGCTTAAATAAAGAACATTATTTTATTATCAGTTTTTGTCTGATCTTTATATTATCGAGTTAAATTTAAATAAAGATTTATTGAATTAAGCTATTATAGTTTTGTTTATGTATTAAAAAGCGTTTAACACGTCAATCTAAAGTTAGTCAAATCGACATTTGACATAGTCCATGTTAAAGACTGTGGGAAACACCATTTACTAGTCCAGTTATTTACACAACTTTCGCCATTTTCAACGCACTTCTCACGTACCACTTCAATACTTATTACGTATTCAAGCGACAGTCTTATACCCCAATTCGTTATTTTTTATATTTACACACGATTTTTTGTGAAATCACCGTTCGGAGTTAACGACTTATGAGTAAAAACGTGATACTTTTCAAAGATGGCGGACGAATCTCAGATTACATCTACATGACCATAATGTTCACGGTTTTCGACTCATAAAGCATAGACAATAACTCTATATACGTGATTCGGTTTGTTAATTGCCTAGTTTAGTTTTTAATGCCCGCTTAATTGGACATCAATTTTTATCTCGGATATTACTTATGGAATTATTCCCAGTACGGTACTGTTCTGTTGATGGTATGAATGATTGTTACCGTTTTTGGTTACATACGTATATGAGAACACAGGCGAAGTGTTGTTGAGATAAAATTTAGAATAAAAATAGATTAAATTAGAACGAATGCTATCTTTACAATCCGGGGTATCAAAACAAATTACCCAGAGATAATAAGATTTTTATTTGCATTCCTGACGACTTTGAGATTAAGAGGATATAGGTAACAATTGTAAGTCAATTTCGAGATCGCTTATGCATAACACAAGCGTGCGCCGGTGATCTAGCGGACCGCCAGTGCTATGTATTCACTTAGCGCAATTTATCGCAGCCATTAAATAACAAGCCAATAACAGATTTAAAATTTCATCCGCGTCCCGAAACCACCGCGCGACAATCGATTAGTTTATTTCAACTCCGACCGATTAATCCGTCGATAAATTTCAACACACGTTTATTAGTTCCTTTGATCTTTTACAATGTGTTTTGTTATTCCGAAAACGAGTCGAGGACAATTACTAATACGTGCTGCGAGATATCATCGAATTTGTTTTGCTTGTAGTGTACACTTACGTGTTCTAAGTTGTTGAAGCGGCGGTTGCAAATGATTTAGATTGGTGGGGTCCTACTTCTCTTGACCGATCTTAGATCTGTAGTCGAATAAATTGATATTTCGGTCTTAGCCTCAACATAACCCCGTAACGTTACTCGTAACAGACTTTGTTATCTAATTATACAATACATTAGCAGTATGTCTTCTATAGAGCCAAACTCTCATATGTATTAAAGGATTAGAGAATGGTATAGAAGGAAAAATAATTTGTTATAGTAATCATATCGCGTGCACGCACGCAAAAACAAGGTAACACCACTGTGCCGTTATTGATTGCTAATGCCTCATGAATATTCAAGAGTTTCGAAAAGCGAAGGCGCTCTAAACTATCGTGTCACAGTGACAGCGAAAAAATATAGTAAATTTTCACTCGGACCCTATATCGGTTCGGCGACGAATGGAAACACAATTCCGGAATTGTAAATCAAGGCGGGTAGTCGGAAAGAAAGGGGTGAGAGCGCGTCAGACGTCACGGCGTGAATCGATGCTCATTTGCATTACAGTCGTCCGCGGAGGCGGACGTCAGGGCCGCTCGAAAGTGTTGCGGGGAACTAAAAAAATGCCCGCATTTGAATTGTTAATGAGATGCAAAAGAAATAGTTGCATAACCGGGGACTGCAGTCGAAATTAGGTGCTAAATGTTATTCTGAAATGCGAATTGGATATTCCTCGGCAATCGTGATTCGTTTGAGGATTACCCACAATGGAAAGTTTTGAGATTGGTGTTAAGTTGTTTACCTTTGCCGACGCTTATAATAATGTTAGAAAAACGTTGATTTATTAGTAAGAAGGAAACAAAAAGGGTGGAAAGTAGTTAATGAATCTAAAAAGTCGTTGCATCGCTGTCAATAACTCACTCGACTCCTGTGGCCTTTCCAATGAGTTATGAGAGTGAGCACGTTAGAGAATTTCTTTTGTCCGAAGTTTAGTGGCGTGCGTAGGGGCAGAAGATCGCGTGCTAGATGGCAATCAGCCGAGGGCAGCGACCACGATTGATTCCGTCGAGAGGCCGAATGATTGCCCCGTGTTTTGAACTAGCAAAAACTATAAAACAGCGTCACGTATCAGTCGCGATGAAACTTTTATGAAGTTCTGTTTACATCCGTCTCTTGGCCGCAATAAGTAGCTCTAGACGAGATATTCCACTCGCATTATATATTTATAAATTATTCATTATTCAACATTTAGTCAAATATAATACAGCTGCATTCGCATTTTTGTACACCGTTGTAGTGGAACTCGAATTTCCCTCGAGAAAAGATAAAAACATTACCATTTGCGGACGTCGGTAGTTTGTAACTAGATTCGATAATCAATTTTGTGCTGACGTCGCAACCCTCACTGAGAGAAAGAGCAACAAATTTTTAATACGACGGGAGAATTTTGTTTCTGTTAGTTACGTTTTAATAATACCGTGTGTAGTTGAATCTCATTATAGTATATAATATATGATACATAA